GGGCTATTCCATTTAATATCCGTACCCCCCCTGTCGAGGATACATGTTTTTCATTGTCATACCCCTGAAGAATTCCAAGCTCAAAACTGTTTACCCCTGAAGAATTCCAAAATTCCAAGCTCAAAACTCTTTACCCCTGAAGAATTCCAAGCTCAAAACCTTTTACCCCTGAAGAATTCCAAAATTCCAAGCTCAAAACCCTTTACCCCTGAGGAATTCCAAGCTCAAAACCTTTTACCCCTGAAGAATTCCAAGCTCAAAACCCTTCACCCTAAAGAATTCCAGGCTCAAAGCCCTTTACCCCTGAAGAATTTCAAGCTCAAAACCTTTTACCCCTGAAGAATTCCAAGCTCTGAAAAATTTCAATCTCAAACCTCTTCACCCCTGAAGAATTCCAAGCTCAAAACCCTTTACCCCTGAAGAATTCCAAGCTCAAAACCATTTACCCCTGAAGAATTCCAAACTCAAAACACTTTACCCCTGAAGAATTCCAAGCTCAAAACACTTTACCCCTGAAGAATTCCAAGCTCAAAACCCTTTACCCCTGAAGAATTTCAGGGATCCTCGACAGGGGGGGTACGGATATTAAATGGAATAGCCCATTAGACCTTTCATTGACATTGGCATTGTCCATTGAGGGCTTTATTGAAGAATAATCCAGCTTCTTTAGACTTGTATAATGGATTAATGCCGCTGTGAGTTATCAATATTTAAATCAACTTTAATCTTTATCGTATACTGGAATCGACATTTTAGAAGTTTTAATAGTCTGTTTTACCAAACAATACTGGAGGCAAACAACCTATCTATCAATGGAAACTTTAAAAGGTTTGTTACAGTAAAACTCATTAATATAAGCGAGACTTCGTGTGCATATACAGTTTATGAATTATGTGTGTCCCTGATAAAACGTAGGACACTTTATACCAGATATAATAAAAAATACTTTGCTAAACCTTTTCGGCTGTCATTCCTTTGCATTTAAGGGGAGAGGGTAAATGGCGATAGCATTTATAGGAGATGCTGTGCAATATTTTGGCTTCAACAAACAGGTACTCGTGCAGACAAAAAAGGAAATTCTTTCTTGCAGTTATGAATTGTCGTATGTCAGCTGTGCACTGTCGATTTCAAACAATTTTGTACGTTATATTTTGTCTTCCTGGTGTTTAATATAAACGATGATAGCCATTTAAAAAAAATCTAGAGCAATATGTCTATAAACAGTTTTAGAATCAATAGAATGGACATTCACAATGTGTATTTGGCTTGTGTCCAAATGTGTCACGTTTAAGACCGGCAAGGCGCTAATCCTACGACCTATAAACAGTCACTTTCGAGACATCTGTTTAACAAATTTATACCATGTCCATATCAGAACAATTCATTGGCATATTATAAGCATATTATAAATATCAGAGCCACAACAGAAACGTATGCGTGAAATAAAACTACGCCCGAACCGGCGAACCCCGAGAAAATAAAAATATTTCAAAGCGTACAGTCATATGTTCTCGTTGCTTGATTTCCTGAATTTTCTGTTGCCATAAGAATCTGCATTTTAGCATGTTTGTATAATTTAAAAGCAAACAGAAACCAATTTAGCAAGTAGTTTGAGGTATATAAGATTCTTGAAGATGAATTAATGATTGTACAGAACGGCCACTCCTTGCAATCGAAGTGCGGAAGTGGAAACATGTAATATGAGACTTTTCCACCCCCCTCTTGGGCTATCAATTTTCAATGGGTCATGTGACCAGCTCCGACCAGGGTCTTTGCTTCCCAAGAGCAAATAGCCTGGGAACGAGGTTGACGAGACGAAAGGCCATTTTGGAGTGTATTTTGTACACGTATGTCGTCATAGCAACGAACTATCTGTTACTAAAACTAATATAATTTGAAAGTAGAGATATCGAAATATATAAAAAATCTAATATCTGCTGAATATATTCTAAAAATGCGTAGTTTGAACATTTCAAAGTTTTGAACACCTGAATTTTTGAAAACTGTATCGAGCTACCTTAATAGACAGATTTAGATCGAGGACGCGGACGTCAAAGACGACTTGAAAGTGGCGTGTTGCGCCCATGTATGGATATGCCACGCCATTTTGACGCCATTTTCACGTCGTCTTTGACGTCCGCGTCCTCGATCTAAATCTGTCTATTAGACAGAAGTATATATCTGGAGATCGTGCTCCGTCCTCGATCTAAATCTGCTATTAGACAGAAGTATATATCTGGAGATCGTGCTCCAATACCTCGTCAGTCAAAAATGTGTGGCCAAAAACATGGCGGATTTTGGCCAAATTTACGTCATTTTGACGTCACAATCGACCTAAATTTATGGTGAACACCACTGAACATAAAATACTAACGTGAAGAAAAAAGTTATTCACACACTCCTTTCAATTTGCTTAAAACAGAAGGAAGTAAATTAGTAAATTCAAAATTTCGGTCGGAAATTTCTATATTGAAACGTACGGTGGCCCATACGGGCCAACCCTTCTCCGTAGAAACTTGCACCTTCTCCGTACAAATGTGTTGTTATTCCATGGAAATCAAACTTCTCCGTGGAATATTGCCGTTGTTCTGTCACGGAAAGCCTTTTCTCCGTAGAAATATGCAGTTTCTCCGTGGAACACGCATCTTCTCCGTGGAAACACGCAGCTTTTCTGTGGAAACACCGCAGCTTCTCCGCGGAAACGCGTAGCATTTATGTGAAACACCTCGCGGTGGCCCGAACGGGGGGCATAGTACAAAACATGGACTGGGCTGGACAGTTGGACTGGACTGGACAGTTGGACTGGACTGGACCGTTGGACTGGACTGGACTGATTTTTACATTTTCTCTATTCTTGACTTGCATGTCAGCCGCCATGTCAGGTGGCATGGCACAAAAGAATATTTTATCACAGAATAAATATACCATGTCATGTCTATTTTGTGATTTTATCGATGAACATTGTCTGGTGTGTACCAGGAGGAGATTGGTTGCAAGTCAAGAATATAACGTTTTGCACCTGAATTACTTTTGATTTTCGGAAATTGAAATACTTTACTTTCGCCGATGACCTCACTTTATAACTGGAGTGAAATCTCTTAAAGCGAAAGAAACCCCAGCAAGGGGCCGACCATTTAACATTTGAGGGGGGGGGGAAGGGAAATTTTTCTTGATATGGGATCGTTATGTGCAAGATTTTTTCCCCTTATTCCATGACCATGTACGATATTTTTTTCCACTCTCTCTTTCGCAGCATTTTCTTCAATAGCTTATACTATTTAGATTCTTTAATTAATAATAGTTAACGTTGAGTTTTCTAGCTTCATGCATTGCTTTTAATAATACCTATTGCTATGAGATATAAGATTTGGTTCAGGGCCTCTTTACAGATGTGTAACTGGATGGGACATATTTAGCGGGGGACCTGGAGAAGTTCCAGTCGGCAAGTCTGTATCACTGCAGCTACCAGCGCATATATATATATATATATGCCTGTTTCGCCCTTTTGGGGCTCGTCAGCACAGTGTAGCTAATGGACAAGCTGCACATCCAGATATTTATATGACGACAAAGTAGTATGCGGATGTGGGCGAAACAGCTGTCCACAGTTGCTAATGTGAGCAGGACACACTGTCATAGTCCGTTCATGGCTCTTTACGCTGCTTTCAAACTACGACATGTAGTACGCATGCGTATTCGAGATATGACTTACTTTGTCACTTTTATAATATTTTGTGTGTCCCACATCCGCATCCTACTTTGTCGTCATATATATATATATATATATTTATATTTATGTTATCAATTTTATTTGTGGATTTATATTTTTATAAATTGAATATTTAAACATACAACGTATTAATCTGTCAGTCAGTCTCGTAAGCGAATCCGATCTGCTAGTGTAGGTATGGATATACAAATACCTACACTAGCAGATCCGCATACGAGACTGACTGACAGATTATTAAATACGGTGTATATTTAAATATTCAATTTATAAAAATATAAATCCACAAATAAAAATGATAACATAAATATAAAAAAGTTATATTTATGTTATCATTTTTATTTGTGGATTTATATTTTTATAAATTGTATATTTAAATATACACCGTATTTAATAATCTGTCAGTCAGTCTCGTATGCGGATCTGCTAGTGTAGGTATTTGTATATCCATACCTACACTAGCAGATCCGCATACGAGACTGACTGACAGATTAATACGGTGTATATTTAAATATTCAATTTATAAAAATATAAATCCACAAATAAAAATGATAACATAAATATAAAAAAGTAAAACTTTATAGTATGTATCTATTTCCACAATTGTTACAAAAGCTATAAACGATCAAAATCTCTGCCTGGCAATTCTCACAATTTATATGCTGGATATCTGTGCCCATATTAAAGTATTCATATTTATAAAATTGGCTTGTAATGTTTTGACCACGATGTTGACTTGTGACTTTATTTTCTCTTCCTCCCCCCGTCGTATAAAACAATAAATATTCAGGGGGGCGTGCCTTTTTAAATTCACAAGGAAAGTGCTCATCCACGGAGAAGGCACGTGTTTCTACGGAGAAGCTGCATGTTTCTACGGAGAAGCTGCATGTTTCTGCGGAGAAGAGGTGCCCCGTTCGGGCCACCGCATCATGTTTCACAGAAATGCTACGCGTTTCCGCGGAGAAGCTGCGGTGTTTCCACAGAAAAGCTGCGTGTTTCCACGGAGAAGATGCGTGTTTCCACGGAGAAACGGCATATTTCTACGGAGAAAAGGCTTTCCGTGACAGAACAACGGCAATATTCCACGGAGAAGTTTGATTTCCATGGAATAACAACACATTTGTACGGAGAAGGTGCAAGTTTCTACGGAGAAGGGTTGGCCCGTATGGGCCACCGTATATATATGATACTTGAAGATGAATTAGATGATTGTACAGAACGGCCACTCCTTGCAATCGAAGTGCGAAGTGCGGAAGTGGAAACATGTAATATGAGACTTTTCCATCCCCCTCTTGGGCTATCAATTTTCTATGGGTCACGTGACCAGCTCCGACCAGGGTCTTTGCTTCCCAAGAGCAAAGAGCCTGGGAACGAGGTTGGCAAAATTTGTTCGTAAGTTAATTGTGAACTTGTCATGTCTTCGCCGATGATCCTTAATGCTGCCCATTTTTTAAATACTCCAACCATTAAATTTGTACTTTTTCAGTTTTCTAATGTTCGAGTTTTCACTAGAATTTTTTAATTCTTCAGTAACATCATCCGCAACGACAAAGCGAGAAGCCATTGTTTTGATTGTTATTTAAAACAAGAAACTTCTCGCGCTTGCGTCTTAGCCAATCAGGCAGAAGTAATTTTGCCCTGAATTAAGAAAAACTTCCCTCATCAGTAGCCAATCATATTTGAGTAATTTTGCCCTCTATATGATTAAGAGTGGAATTTTTATACACCCGTTAGACCTATAACCAGGAGCAGTTGTGAAAAATGCGTCTATTGGTCCTCTGGGAAGGAATTGAACCTGCAACTCTTTGTAGCTCAGAGAGTCGCAGAGCGCTGGATCTTAATCACAGGGTCACAGGCATTGATATTTTATATACACTAGATAGCGCATCTCTTTTAGTAAAATTGAAGCCAAGAATATTCCAGCGGTTACCCCCATTTGAATAGATGGCGGCCATGTTGGTCGTTCTCACTTGCTAATAAACGCTTAAAAACAACAATAACTTTCATCATTTGAATAGTTTAAAAACGTATTTGGAATAGTTAAGTTTCCTGTTTAAGAAATGTAGAAAACATGCGAATCTTCTCATTTCATGGGAACGACCTGAGACTGCAATCACAGCTTCAATTGTTGAATTGTAGAATAATTAGATGCACTATCTAGTGTATATACGATATCTATGGCCGGAGGTTCGATTCCTGTCATAGCCTGCGAACAGCCATTAGACCAAATAAATGTATAAAAATTTTACTCGAAATTTCCATCCATACAAATCCCTTCAACAATTGGTTATTTGATAAGTCAAATATCAATAGATCACATGTAAAACTGCTTTGATAGTTATTTCATCCAGGAAAGAAATCTGAAACTTTTACTAAAGCGGATGTTGTAAGAGGGTCCTGAAGGGGTAAAATGGGAACTGGGATTTGCTTATTTTTGGGTGGGAAAATGGGATTTCATGCACTGGGACTGGGATTCATCAGCATAAAAACAATAAAAATGGGAATGGATTAAGATTTGAGCAGGACAGCCACTGAGATGATGGGATCATTGTGCTCTGGGACAATGGGATTTTGTCAAATGTGGGCTGGGAAATGGAAATACGACCCCCTCCCCCCCTTCAGGACCCTCTTGTAATACCGCAAAAATACAGTGGGAGCCATTCTTTTGGGACACCATGTATAAGATTATTTTAAAATTAACTGTATACCCATCCCAACATATCATGTGTATGTGGTCCAAACTTTGAGCACTTGAAATTTTTAGTAAGGACAGACTGCGTCGAAAGATCCTTGACAAATGAAATATTTCCGATTCCAGCTTGCAGATACGGACATCCATTGTTCACATCAAATAGATTTCCAAATTTCGGTTGCGGATGTAATCGATAAAACCTACAGTAAAAAGAGGAAATTTTTTACCGTTATGCAATTTTCACAGCACTCGGGTTTTTCTCCTACTTGCAGGACTTTCCATATACGAAGGGTGGAAAGCAAATCAAATTTATAAAAGGGCATGCATCTTTAACTTTTTAGAAAGCGCATCAGTATTTTTTTTTGTTGTAGTGCTCATGTGATCACAAAATTGCTCATTGCAGAATACAAAGATAGAGTGTCCCCAATACCCTGTGCAGTTTTTATGCCAAGTGTTGATGGTTCGTTTTCTTGGTTACGTTTCCTGTATTGTTTGATATTGTTTCCTGCAACTTTCTCACTTTTTGTCGTTTTATTGCCGTTACTATTCTTAACTGATTACAGTAGTTTAGTTCAGAAAGTTTTAAGCAGGTTTTCCACTTCGCCCGTATCGTACCGAAACGTCCTGGTGAGCATGCGCAGATTGAAAATAAGTTTGTAAATCAACGTAAATCCCGGGTGTATTCGCGTATCAAAATGAAAAGTTCGTTGCAAGTCAATCAACCAATAAACCAATCAACATTTACGAAATTTTGAAATTTAAAAACGTTTTTTATACGTTTCGGTACGGTACGCTTGAAGTGGAAAACCGGCTTTATAGAAATATTTTTTCACCGGTCCGCACCAAAGTTTTCTTACCAGTCTGCCTTTGTTCCTTCAAAACCTTTATCAGTCGAAAATTGAACTCTAAAGTCCAGAACTTTGACATCACCAAGATCACTGGACCAATGCGGGGGTCCTTGAGGATCAACAGGGGTAGAATTAGATGGTACTGTCCATGATACAGGACTATCCATC